TGTTGAATTTTGTTTAAAAAAAAAACTCTAAATGAAATTACTCCAAAACACACATTAAATCAGATCAGTTATTAAACTTTTTACACCAAAGGAATTAAAACATCATTTTTAATCTTATAAAAAAAACACCATTTCTAACGACCAAATTCTCATAATTTTAGTATATGCAGTAAATATTAAAAAATAATCATAAATATTCACGCACTAATCATTTGCAATAAATTTTCTCGAACTAAAACATCGATTTAATTCAAATAATAAATATGTAAAGGAAATAATAAATATCGATGAAAAATCAGAATATCCCTTCGAAAATTATCTTATTCATCTGAGAGTGTTTAATGATTGTATCCCCACAAGAGTTAATCTTCAGAAGAGGGGTTGTGAATGTAACTATTTGTTGCTGCTGTGAGAAACATGCCGAATCTTCAGACCATACTCTGTTCGGATGCAAGCGAGCTAAACAATTGTGGAAATTGATTATGCAAGTCCCCATATGAGATTCGAGTTCAATGGATGCCTTCAAGACCGACTCATGTTCCTCCCAGATTGTCGATCAACCCGCGAGATGGAGTTAGCTTGTGTTACCTGCTGGTCCCTATGGCATGTTCCATTTAAATCGCATAGATTAGCCTATGAGGTGGTTTCTTCCAACAAATCCTGATAAGTGACAACCCAAACGTATTGGACTACAACATCCACAAGCCACTTGAACCCAATCGTATAGATGGTTTCAACCTGAAAGGCTAAAGGTTAGATGGATTACCTTTGCAGTCGTTACCTTGAGTAAATAGAATACTCACTATGCTAGAGGTCGGAAACACTCAACGAGTTTGATTGATGACCAATCAAACAAGCATGCTCCGAGGGGTAAAATATAAAAACTTAAGTTCAACCACACAAAGGAATTTGATATTTTTTTTGGGGGGGAGGGGGAGTTTGCACACGACAAAGGAGAGAAACTCTGGCAAGTTTATTGATAATTCAAAATTCAAAATTGTTTTAAAACAAGAGGGATAAGGGGGTGGCAAATAATCAAAATAAATCCTACAAAATATCGCAAACAAAAAGGGAAAACAATTTCCTAAATTGTTATGGTGTGGGCACCAGGGCAAGGGGGTGGCAACATCGTTCAAGCGAGCGCCCATGGGGCTGGCAGTGGCGTGCGCAAGGGGGCTGGCACTCGGGGGTGGGCACTTGGGCGAATGCGGGGTGTGGCGTGCAAGTCTGATGGGCAAACGCTGGGGGAACTGGCAGCAGGCATGCGTGCAAGAGGCGATGGTGTGCGTGCGAGGGTCGCTCGGAGGTGAGGCGTGACAGAGGGTAGTGATAAAAGAGATTTTCGAAGAGGCTACAAACACGTCAACACGAGTTGTTGATCAAGCTGACATTTCAACAAAAGTTGTTGATGAAGCCAGTACATCACGTTAGTCACATCCACCTCAAGAATTGAGGGTGCCTCACCGTAGTGGGAGGACTATGTCAGAACTTGACTGCTATGTGGGTTTAACAGAAACCCAAGTTGTCATACCTGATGACAGCGTCGAGGATCCATTGACCTATAAACAGGCAATGCAAGATGTGGACAATGACAAATGGGTCAAAGCCATCAACCTGGAAATGAAGTCTATTTACTTCAACTCTATTTGGGAACTTGTAGACCAACTTGACGGGGTAAGAACGATAGGGTGCAAATGAATTTACAAGAGAAACGAGACATCGAAGAAAAGGTACGGACCTATAAGGCGAGACTTGTTGCGAAAGACTACACACAAAGGGAAATGGTGGACTATGAAGAAACCTTCTCTCTTGTAGCTATGCTCAAGTCCGTAAAAATATTTTTGTCCATTGCCACATATTATGACTGAGATTTGGTAAATGGACGTCAAGACTGCCTTTCTGAATGGCAATCTTGAAGAAAGTATTTATATATCTCAACCCGAGGGGTTCATAGCTCAAGATCAAGAGCAACAGGTTTGCAAGCTTAAACGGTCCATATACGGATTGAAACAAGCATCTCGATCTTGGAACGTAAGGTTTGATACTACGATTAAATCTTATGGTTTTGACCAAAATGTTGATGAGCCTTGTATATACAAGAAGATCGTCAACAACACCGTAGCCTTCTTAGTGTTGTATGTGGATGATATCCTACTAATTGGGAATGATATAGGATACCTCACTGACATAAAGAAGTGGCTAGCTATTGAGTTTCAAATGAATGATTTGGGAGAAGCTCAGTATGTTCTTGGCATCCAAATTCTAGGGGATCGCAAAAACAAAACGCTAGCCCTGTCTCAAGCAACTTATATTGATAAGATGCTTGTTCAATATTCGATGCACAATTCCAAGAAGGGCTTATTGCTTTTCAGGTATGGAATTCATCTGTCTAAGGAATAATGTCCTAAGGCACCTCAAGAAGTTGAGGATATGAGACACATACCCTATGCTTCAGCAGTGGGCAGTCTGATGTATGCTATGCTGTGCACTAGACCTGACATTTGTTACGTAGTAGGGATGGTCAGTAGGTATCAATCCAGCCTAGGATATGATCACTGGACTACTGTTAAGGGAATCCTCAAGTATTTTAGGAGAACGAGGGACTACAAGCTCGTGTATGGCTCTAAGGATTTGATCCTTACAGGATACACTGACTCTGACTTTCAAATAGAAAATGATTCTAGAAAATCCACGTTGGGGTCGGTATTCACTCTTAACGGAGGAACGGTAGTTTGGTAAAGCATCAAATAAGGATGCATCGTAGACTCCATGATGGAGGCTGAGTATGTTGCAGCTTGTGAAGCAGTAAAAGAACCAGTTTGACTTAGGAAGTTCTTGACCGATTTGGAAGTCATTCCAAATATGAACTTGTCCGTCACACTTTACTGTGATAATAGTGGTGCTGTGGCAAATTCTAAAGAACCTCGAAGTCACAAGAGAGGCAAGCACATAGAAAGAAAGTACCACCTCATACGGGAGATAGTGCAACGAGGAGATGTGATCGTCACAAAGATCGCTTCGGAGCACAACATTGCTGATCCTTTTATGAAAGTACTCACAGCTAAAGTGTTTGAGGGCCATCTAGAAAGTCTGGGTCTACGAGTATTGTACATATAGTCTAGGGCAAGTGGGAGAAAGTGTAACGGGTATAGTGTATGCCTTAGTTTATTGTACTTTCCCTTTGCTTTATGGTTATGTACGCCCCACTAGTGTTTAGTTCAAGTGAGAGTTTGTTGGGTGTGTTGTCTTAAACTCGTAGTTTGTAATTAATGTAAAAACAAATTTAGATTCAATAAAGTTTTATTCAATCAATTTGTTGTTGAATTCATAGTAATGCATTGTCTAAATCCAATAAACTAAACATCCAAGATTTGTCATGTAACCGGGACAGTATATATACTGGGTATATATTTGATATACTCTCGATATACAAGTGTATAATATCCCAGAAATAACCTAAAGGGTCTATAGTATATGGATAAGGTTGGGTACCTTCTTCTAGCAACACTATGGATACGACCCACTTTGTAAATGTTACAGACGACTCGATCCAGGTCATTTGTGTAGAGACATGTGAGTGGGGGTATCCTATACAATGAGTTTGTATAAGACCAGACAACGAAATAGTCAATCTTTAGATACAACGCCTTTAACTAACAGATTGCTATTTCATAGGATGACCAGGCAACTCATTCTCAATCTTGAGTGAGTTATGGAATCCTGCCTGTGAGGGCTTGTCTTTTGATTTCTATAGGTGAGAGTGGCCCGAGTTGTCGACTCAATATTCCTACAATTTTGGGGACTAGACTGAGTGGGGAGCTGGAAACGTAACTTCATGAGATGAAATTCACTCCTCCCCGACTTTCGGGGAGTAGATGAATGTTCTCTTAAATAGTGACTCTAGGACTTGAACAAGGGGCCCACCCTCTCACTGGGCGAGAGGGACTTCCGGTTATTGGTCAGATAATAACCAGGTTGTTCAATACAGGAGCAGTGGTATTTAAGGAGCAAGATGTAACACAGGGGTAAAACGGTAATTTGACCCATCTGTGGTTACGAACGCTCGTGAAGGATTGACTTGCGATTAATGGTTAAAACCCATGGACGCAAAATACTCTATAGTGAGAATATTGCAACCGTGGGTCTTTAGTGGAATGACCGATGGTTAACAAATGTTGTGTAACGCCCCGCGTTCTCTGACTCGTTTATTTTAAGAGATAAATAGTGTCTTTGGATCTTTCCCTAAGTTGATAACTTTAATTCTTGGATCTTCTAACTTCGAAATTCTAATTTTTGGCTGAATTAGAATTAAGTTTAATTTCATTGGATTAAGATAATTTAAGTTCTCGACCTGTGTAGGAGATTTTTAGTTAAATCTTAAATTCAAGGGTTTTAGGATTTTCCTTCATAAATTCTACTCTTCTTTGAATTATTATTCTTGGGTCTTAGAGTTGAAGTTAATTATTTTATCTCGAATTATTGTGAGTTTTATTTTAACTACTAACGTGAAATTTCGGGTTTCTTGTTTTGGGCCGTTAGAACTATTTGAAAATAGAATTGTAGTTTCCTCTAACCCATAGGCTTTCCATTGGAGTTGGGAGTTGGGA